AGGGAAACTAAAAGGAAAGATCCCCGCCCCATTTTTTGGGTCCCCCTATTTTGACACATAAACATCAATACGCATTTCTCCTGAAGGGAGTCGAAGTTGGCGGACAGGGCTTGCTCCAGCCGTTCGAACCTGAAATCAGCGTGAGATGGCGAAAGCTTTGGCAGATCGAGAAAAACATGGAACCACCCGAAATTCAAAGACATGTCACCCATGTTTATTTCTCCTTGCAAAGGGGGTCACGGAAGAATCCCCAAAGACTTTTCACAAAGCTGTCCATCAGCTTCCCCTTGTGCCTTCTCCTTTGGTTTCAATAAGCAAAGCGACACATCCCGAAACCGAGCCAACCCACCAAAGAGGCTCTAACATCAGTGCTCCATGTTTTTGCTCCCTAAGTACAAAACACCCATGGGCCTATGGGCTCTTATGCAAACACCGCGGTTTTGTTTTTCCGTTTTGTGGAAGACGATCTTCTTGAGGGTATCTTGTTTGGGGCTGCTTCATGCTGTTCCGGAAAGCATCCGACAAACTGAAATGTAGAGGGTCTGTTAAAGTTGCCCTCTTGGTGTTTTGAGAACATCAATGCATCTGATTTCAATTGAGTTTCCTTCTGGCGCGCCTTTTCGAAATGGGACATAATGGGGCCCACATTTCCTGTGGGTCCCTTCCCGTTCTGGGTGCCAGGGCTCTTCGATGCCAGCGCCCTGATCATTTGTGGGGCTCTGCCTGGCCATCGCAAGCTCGCAGCTCTGGAAATTCACCCTGCGGTCAAAATGACGTGGTTCACCGACTGGACAGTCCGACACCTTACCCCAGAAGCGGGATCCAGTTTTCGAAAAGGAGATTCCGCTAAAAAGGATGTTTTTGTTGGGGCTCCATGTCAATCTGAGAAGCAACACCTGCTTGTTGCCGCGCAACAAAAACACGTGACTGGCGTCAGTTCGATGAATTTGATCCGCACGCTGGGGGTCTGACATCTCATCACCGAAGTTGAAGGATTTGTACTGGAAGCCTGGCAAAGTACTGAGGATGGACGCAACATTTCGGGCACGCATGTGCCATGAAACAAGCTGCTTGAGCCATGGTAATGGTTCCCGTGCAAATCCGCATCATGTCCGTGACCGTCCTTACCAACGCCAAGTCAAAGGGTGTTTTTTCGACCAAGGCACATATGGGCATGATTTTCAATTGGGGACCTCTTGATGGACTTATAATTACACGGGGATTCTGTTCACCGCCAATGTTTGCAAACTGTATTGCCAGCTCCGCCAAACAAGATCAACTGTTCGAAGTGCAGATAGGCATGCAAGCAAAGCTGGAGTACTCAAGCAGCTTCACTGGCTTGGACGTACGCGGGCACGCAGAAATGTCTGTGTGTGTGTGCGCGCGCGCACAACTTTTTAGTTGGTACCACTTTTGGCGTTGGTTCAAGGGAAACCAAAGGAACACCAAAGCACATGTTTGGTGGGTTCCTGATTCTACTCAGAACCAAATCAGCATTCAAAGCACTGGCGGGAGCGACAGCTGCAGCGCCAGCATTGCCGGGCATAGCAAGCAGGATATGAGGATCAGACTGGACCCAGAAAGATAAACATATTGATCGACATTGTGCAAGTATATCCCAAGGGTGCTCACCTCGCTCTAGTCCAAACATGTTCCCATCTCGCCCACCTCCAGTGGCCATGGGGGAAAAAGGCACTCTTTGTCAGCAAAGATGGGCATGGGAAGCAACCCACGGTCTGGGTCACTCAGGAAAGGAACGCACGGGTGAATCGGACTTCCAATTCGCCAGGCAGGCGTTGCTGCAGTCGCTCGGACAGCAGCAAAGCGCCCAAGGTCTCAGTCTCTTCCTCGACAAGAGGGCTGTGCCCGTTTTGTTGGGTCGTTGTAAAGGCAAACCAATGCGAGCCAAAGCCCATGGGGCTTCAGATGCTTCCAGACAAACCTACATGGCCCCAAAGGTTTGTCAACTTCCGAGAGGTAGCTGTAGTCCTACGTGTCCTTGTGTCCTATGGCAAAATAGATGGATTCCACTCGCAAATGAAAGGCAAGCAAATCGAAATCAGTGGAGTCCATTTGTGCTCAGCCAAACTGATTCAAATGAACCTGCTCACATGATTGGCCACAACAAACACGTTCGGACCTTTGCTGAAATGATGAAGACATCTGATCATCTGAACTGTACCCGCAACAAGTTGAACATTTGAAAACTAAATAATAAATAGGTCAGCAATGCACACCTCAGCCGAGCTCCCGACTCCGCCCTCCTGTCTAAAGAGGCTTTGGCCTGAGCGATCTTGAGAGACCCTGTAACCAGAAAACGGTGATCCTTTTGCAGAATACATGCATGGTTTGCAAGTTTGGCAGAATGCTTTTCTTGACATGTGTTCAATCAAAGTCTAAAACAACACAACCTAGCTGATTCCCAACATGTTCAAAGGTGTCGCGACCCAACCTGAAAACCCTTGGAAGCAAGTGAAATGGTGCAACTGAGACTGACGGCGAAGCAGCCTACCCTGCACAAACCGCTTTGAAGAAAGCCTGGATAACACACAAATTAATCTCCGCGAGCCTTGTAATGGCCTGCCAGCCCCAAGACTGCGACACACCCTGAAGACCCTGCGGCACAAAAGATAATATCTTTGCTCGGCTGGCGGACAAACCCCAAACAAAGTCTTCCGACTAATGTCAAAACCTTGCAACACACCAGCCAAAATGGTCATGTCGGTTTTTGTTTGCCAACGTTTCTGTCCTGCCATAACCTAAGGAGGGCAAGCCTGACTGCACTGCGTTTGCACAAGGCCGCGCGCCATTCCGACAGATCTCAAATTTTGAGGGCTGATCTCAAATCATTGTGCCGCTCATAGGACCAACGCTAGTCTTGCGCTCGCCCTTGCGCGATCTTGCGAGACCACAGCGCCGTTGCAGTTTGGGCGGAGAACGCTCTAAAAACCCACACGTTTACGCGGTGTCGCGTTTTCGGAGCCCGAAAACCCCAAACGGGATTCCATCCAGTTTGGTAAGTCCCGTTTGGGACTTTCGGGCCCCGAAAGTACGAAAAAGAACTCAAATCGAGATGTGGGCCGTTTCTTGCTTTCGGGTAAAACACAAATCGCGATTGGAGTCCTGTTTGGGGCTTTCGGGCTCCGAAAATGCGAAAAAGGACTTAAATCGAGGTTTCCTGCTTTCGAGGCCCGGAAGCAAGAAAAAGGGCTCAAATCGAGATTCGAGTTCCAGCAAAGCGTGTTTGAGGTGAATGCTGACCTTGCGCTTGCCCTTGCGTTTATATCGAGAGGTCCGTTTTGTCTACTTCTAAAAGCCCTCGATTTTGATCAGCCCTCAGGGTTTGTCTCAAAGTAGAGGAACCCCCTAACATGGGCGTTTCCCTGTTGTCTCCCTTCCCTTCAAAGGGTATCTTGAAAAACAGCACACGGACCCTGCCACCATTGCCAAGCAGGAAAATCAAACACGATAAAAGGTCAACCTTTGGGGACCTCGAAAGAGAGCATAATATGCGCCATTGTCAACTCTCCCCCTTTTTTCCATTTTGCGCTAGCGTCGCAGGCAGGGCAGCTACACGTGTGCCTGGTGTAACCTGACTGCATCCACTGTCGGATACTATACCAAGGCCCCCACGTTAAGGTGAAACATGGTCTGCGTACCGAGACACTTGTCTATGCCACAGAGTTACAACCCGGTAAGTCTACAACGGAAGCAGTGCATTAACAGTGATGCCTGCGGGGCGATGTGCGCCTCAGGCACTTCAAAGCAACGACTTCGATCTGCCTCCAATTGGCCGAGGTGGATCGGCATGGCTGAAAAACCTCTTCAACCCGTGCTGGTAGCTGCTCAAGTCCGGCACGCATCCCTACCAAGTGAGGAATTGCGGAGTCATTAGCAACAACGCCTGCCTCTAGCCACTGTGCAAGAGTTCTGCGGCCGCTTGACCTTGCTGGACAAACTGATCATGGCCGGCCTCACTGACGCGCCCTCCAACACTCGCCCCTCCAACACTATGCGTTGCGCTCCTGTGAGCGTGGCTGCCCGTAGGGTTGCCGGCAGGGTGTCGGCCCGGTGGTCTGACCCACTCCTTGCAATCCCGCCCCCTGGGCTGTAGGGCTGCAATGACACTCCTGCAAAGACTGTCAGCGTGTGTGGGGTTTGTTGCATGCTTGCCCTGGCCAGCCGACTGGTTGTTAACATCTGCGTGAGGTTCCCATGCATAACTGGGGCGTTGCTGACCCGCTGTGCAACGGCTGCCATAGGCTCCCTCGTCGGAAGCTCCCATTCCTGCGCTCAGTTCCGCCACCTGCAGCGTGGTGTGGATGCGCTCATCCTGTTGCAAGCGCAAGCTACCGTTGCGTTGACAAGCTTGGAAGTCAAGCTGTGGCCCAAAAAGCACCAGGCGGAACCTGCAGCACGCTGGATGCTCGGAGTGGCCTTGAGAAAGCTGTGCTCATCCTGTGGCAAACGCAAGAGACCGTTGCGTTGCCAAGCTGGCCCCAATTGCACCAGGCGGGATTGCCCCGCAAATCACAGTCTGCTTACCACACCTAGTGGTACCCCAAGTTTCACATGGTCGATCCTGTTCCAAGTCCAGTCTCACCTCCACTGTTACGCGTTCCATTGCATACAAACCCTCGAGAGATCGGCATGAACGGTTTCACCTGCTGAAAGGAACTCGAGCCGAAACTGGTTAGATCTCCAAATGTCAGTAATGGTCATGGCTCGATTCGTAGGAACGCTTACAGTTGTTGTCTAAAATCGCAATATAGGGTTCATGACCAGCCCTACCAACCCCAAGCAAAACTGGGTCATCCTCAACATTCGCTTTATGGTGGCTTAAAGGCCCCAAAAAGTAATCAAATGATCCGAACATCCGTCAAAAATGGAGCCACTTGAATGGACCCAGTAACCCCAAGTCAAAGGTTGTCGAGGTTGTCTCTAACCAAGCGGCCCCAAACGGCTGGTGTCCTTTTCGTTTCCCTTTAAAGCCAACCCATGGGTGTGCAAAATTGCCCTTCCTGCGACAAGGTTATTGATTCCCAGGACCACGTTATCATGGTAAAGGGGATTGATTAGTATCACAGAAAGTGGCCCTAAAACCCATCTCCCACGACCATAAGCCAACCAACGGTGTCCGGGCTCGCGGCAGTTGCTGGCTGCAGCCGCTGCGGCGCCAGCGACATCTCCTCGGATTCAACACATCTCCCAAAGAAACTGGGGTTAACCTCATGAGCTCTAACAAATGGGTTCTAGGATGCTACACAAGCTACACACATTTTTCCTCTGGCGCAAGCTGGAACACCTTTGTTAGAACCCGTTTAGGGTCCCCTGATTTTGTTGTGGGTTGAGGGGTGCCAGCCGAGGGTTGAGGAGTTGTCGGTATCATTATTTCTACAAAGTGGAGGTTATAATTTCCCTTGTTTCAGCCCAAAGGACAAATCCTTGTGGCGATTTGGATCAGAGTTGAAATCTCAATAAATCCCCAAATGTGCAACTGTGCAACTATGAAACTCGCTATGAGTCCCAATGTCGTGAAAGGTTGTTTACGCGTGAGCTAACACTTCGCTTACGCAACCCATGCTGTAACTTGCGCGGCAGTCAGCAAACATGACAAGCTTACCTTTCCCTTACACGCGGACGTTTTGTGTTCAAAATGGCGTGAATGATGCTATCGAGGAAGTCGACAAAGAATTGCCCTCAGGCGGGCGGGTCGACTTGTTGTTGTTCTTTTCGGCACCTTCACTCCACTGCGGATCACGGAACGGCTTATGTGAAATCCATGGCATGGGCAATCGGGCATCCGGGCAAGGCGAGCTTATGCGAACACCTTTCTCGCCTGCTTACACCTGCTTATGTGCCTTGACCCTCTGGTTTTGCTGAATCTGTTGTCATAACCCTTCTTTCTTGGGCAGGATGTCAACAACACACCTGCGGCCCCTTCACTGTCAGACTCAGCAGGTCACGGCTCTTTGGGTGGCAAGCAGAATCAAGAGGGCCAGGTTGCAGCTTTCGCAAGCAGTCACGGAGTAGAGCTTGCCCGCGTGCAAGCACGCGGCATGTTTCCCGAAAAAGATTGCGCTCGCTTACGCCACTCAGGATTTTGCTTACGCGGGAGCTTCCCATGACTCTGCTCTTGTTTGACATGAACGCCGGGTTTTAGAGTTGTTCAAGTGACGGCCACCAGGAAACGGCTTGCCCAGCTGGCGTTTAAGTGAGAAATGGCTTGTCCCCGCCTTCTCTCCAAACCAGCAGAGTACAGGGATGCTCCATTCGACCCGATGGGCATTGCGTAAATTGCTTGATGACGGGAGCAGCAATTAAGCAGCGCCCAGACTTTTGGTTCTACTAGCATGGCTATCAAGGCTCTTATAGCGTTACTATACCCCCAATTAAAGCAGGCAGGTGGGGTGTTGGGCGCCAGGCGCTAATTGTCTACCCTCAGCATTTGGAACGTGAGATGCAACTCTGCTTACAAAGTCTGAGTCCTCTGCCCAGATGATTCAGGCATACATAGGTCCGCATTGTCCTTCCTCTGTGTTTCTTTTGTTCCTTCCTTATTTCGCCCTTCTTCAAACCGCATATCCCTTGTCAACCAGGAAGTAGAACTCCTGGCCACACATTTCATTCGACCCATGTGATGCATTGCGCTCGTTGGGCCCAAAGCCATGAGAGACGCGTCTTTTTGGGTTCCTTCATCCGCGCAACCAAATGAAGACAGGCGAAAACCTGGCCAAAAGGTCTGTCCAGTGCACTCCAAAAAAGATCCGTCCAGTTCTGAAGTTCCATGCCTGGAGGGTAAGGCATAAGCCTCGTGTCTCTTGCTCTGGGCGTTGGCTTACTCCAACCATTTGAAGGCTCTCAGCCAAGCGAGCTGCAAACTCAAATGGGTTTGTCCCAAATCGGGGGAAGACCACCCCCCCCCCAAAAAAAAGGGGGGGGCGACGGCGGTTTCCTCTTGGTCTGGTTTTAACAAAGAACCAACATGAGGTTCCCCCCCAAATGCATTGAATCAGATAAGGCGTGGTTGTCAGCGGACCACCAGTTCATCATGGCCTTCCAGGGAGAATTCGAACCGACTTGAAGCAAATCCAAAAAAAAAGGTGCCAACCACGTAGGTGTCCTTTTGGGAAAATAGATGGCCGTAGATTCACCACCAGGTAAACCGGTACCCTCTACATCTCGGGGGTTGCAAAAAAAAAGAGAGAATTGCAACCCCTTTTGGGCCATGGTTTATGTGCCGCCCTTTAGGGTTCCAAAAAGGGGTAACCATATGTTTGACAACCCTGCGGCAGCATAAAGGATGTTGCGGAAATGCTCTCATGTACGCACGAAAGCATTTGCAGACATGGCCTGCGACCGGGAAATCCTAGTGGTTCTCAATATGGACACCCACAAATGATCAAACATGAATGTTTCAACAGAAACCAACTGGAAGTTTCTCAAATTTAGGGACTCCGGCTTGGCCTAAAACTATGGTGTCGGTCAACCTAAAAACGG